GCTGGTGGAACATCAGTGACTTAACCAAGCCATGACTAACACTATGCCACGGTGATGATCTGACCAAAGCCCCGACCTGCGGATCGTTGTCACTTTCGCACAGGAACAACGGTGGGATTGTAAAACCCGCAGCCTTTCGGCCACAATCGGCTTGACCACACAAATGCAGGATTCTAAGCAGTACCAGTGCATCCTTAGCCGCGTTGGCTTCAGGCGATTGGCAACCGTTACACATAGCGGGAAAAAGACTTGGAAGATCAGTGCACACCACTTGCCTGATAAGGCCTATCCGCGCAAGCTCAAACAGGAATGCGTGAATTCCTTCATCCCTCACCTCCCTGTGATCTAGGCGGATCGTTCCCCATTTTGAAGGCACGGTTCCTACGTAGGCTTTAGGATCTCCAATCACAACAGCTATCCCTTCACACTGGCTTAAGGTGCGGCGAGTGCGACGGTTGAAACGTGGCTGTATGCCAACGGCTTCCATCCTCGGCTCATCGAGCACCTGCGAAAGAAGAGAGCTACTTTGAAGACCCACTAGTTCGGTGAGCCACGTCCAACGATCGGGATGCGGGCCCTTTCCTGCCAACAGCGCCGTGGCTAGACTTGTGAGGGGTACGTCTTGGCTAAGGTGCCCATTACACGCATAAGCCTTCACAGCGACCCCACTCAGCTTTTCTATCTTAGATATCATATCCAAGGCAAGCTTTGACGAAACCTCCGGGCAACCTGCCACCAGAACAACTGGCACCTTAGAGCCTTCTGGATCTCGCAACACAAAGCCTCCTGAGGTCCAACGAACCTGATACCCTAGGCTCACAAGCTGATGTAAAGCAACAATCGGAGCAGCTTTCTGCTGACTCAACGACGCTGGCTCTGCTAGCAGGACGCCTGTGCTGGCGATCCGAAGATTGTTTGTTTCCCCTGAAGCTAAATGCACTACCACTGGGGCGGCAGCTTCCCATTCTTGCAGACTAATGGCTTGTCGAAGTGAGGTTGTGGCACCACCGTCCAACAAACCCAAAACGGCGTCTCTAGATTCTTCGGCTTTAACAGCACACAGCTTGGATATCCTCAAAGACTTAATGGCATCAATGGCTTCCTTCACCAAATCATTTGAGGGCCCTGTCGCTGCAGCTGGTGCGCCCTCAGACTGCGAGGCCTGAGCTTCCGAACCCTCAGGAACCTCAACTCCACCAACCTTGCGAACTCTCTTCCGGGGACCCCGCTTAGGTTCAGCCTTAGCTGAGGCCTCTACACCCGCCTTATGGTCAGCGCTGCCAGCGGCAGTGGGTGGGCCTCTCCCTAGCACTGGGCACGCATTCCTCCAGTGCTCAGTGGATGAACACTCAAAGCACCTACCACTACCATCCTCAACAACACTAAGATCGTGATTGTATTGGCATGACCGTCCGGCGTTACACCCCTTTGCGGAACCCCAAAACTGACAGACTCGGCGATTGCTTTCAGGCTGGGCATCAGAAGGCTTGCCTTTAAGTCCTTTACCTTTACCTGCATCCTTGCCTCCTGTATTGTTCGCGCCCTTTCCTTTCCTGTGTTCTGGCTTCTCCTCCTTTCCTTCCTCCTCAGTGGCCTTGGCTCTCCTTACCCGCTGTCTCTTCTCTTCCTGAGAGAGCGCCTGAGCGCTCACCGCGAGCAGCTCCATCTCGGCATGAACCTGCCTCCTGAACTTTTCAACCTTCTCATGTGTTGGCACGTGATCTAAAGAGAGCTCAAGCTTCAGCACACTAAGCCTGAAAGCCAACTCCCTATAAGTGCTCGAACTCACGATTCCAGACACGATGCTCTCAACAGCCCTGAGCAGGAGTGAAGGATCGGGGAGGGAAACCTTGAGCTGCTCCGCACGCGATCTCCATCTTGAGTACTTCCTCAATTTCTCCAATGCTTCCGCCGGGTTCTGTGCAGTCCCTGGCTGAGTCAAGAAGTTCAACAGTGTCGCGCGCTCAGCAGTTCCTCCTGGCTGCCCTGCAACCATCACCCTATACAAAACATTCACCGAATTGAGAACCCTAGAAGCTAGGATGTCCTGTCTCAAGTTCTGTGGAAGCGAGGCCAACAGCATCGATGTTACTCGTTGCTCAAGCCGGGCATACTGCGGCTGGGAAAGCTCAGATCCTAAGGTTACTTCAATTTGTGCTCGGTGTAGCGGGGTAGCATTAAGCCACTGTGCATAGAAAGCTTCAGCCCTATCCTTAACCTTGACCCACCAAAGACCCGCTCCAGTACTAATGTCCCCAACTATAGGACCCACTAATGTTATCCAATCGCCCACTGCAATCGGTGCCTCATCAGTTCTCAGCTCCGAGAGCTGTGGAAGATCATGCCAGCGCTGCCATTGAGGCGAGTACCGAAGCTCCTGACGGCGGATTTCAGACGTTGGAGTTGGGGTTAAAGGTGGAGGCAACGGAGGCACCGGAGTACCACCTGGCGTGCGATCTACCCTAAACCCTATCTCTTGTCTCACCCCAAAGTCAGGTCCTAAACCACTAGGAGGCGGGGGTGGTACCGGGCTTGAGGAGGTATTAGGCACAACCGACTGCTCATCATGATGACGCGGGAAGGCTGTCTGATGTGACACCAGATAATTCGAATCCCTATCATAGCCCTGAGTGCTATACAATCCTGGAACCGACTGCTCAACAGGATACTGCGGATAAGGCATCGAAGGTACCTGGGGCAGAAATGAACCACCCGAACCAATGCCAAAACCCTGAGTGCATTGCATTCCTGGAAACGACTGCTCAACAGGATGGGGCGTAGGGATCGGAGCTACGTGGTGGAGTGGAGGACCAACTAACCCACTATAACCCTGAGTGCATTGCATTGCTGGAGCCGCTTGCTCAACATGATGTGACATCGAAGCTGGTCGGTACTGCGGAGGGCCACCTAAGCCTACAAACTCAACTAAACCCTTAGGCAACCCACTAAGGTCTTCAGGAATCTGCGGCGGCGTAAAGAAGCCTGATCCTCCTTGTACCGGCTCCGGCACACTCTGCTGCACTTGGTGAAGCTGCTGTGCGGGGCAAGTCCAACCGTGCCCTTCAACAGGAAGCGCTGGCCCCCGAATCCAGGAAGGCCCTGGGAGACTTGCCGAAGATTGAGGTGCTTGGGGCTGAACAGGAGGAGGAGGTGGTTGATTTAGCACGCTAGGAAGTAAAGTCCAAACTCCCTGTGCATTGAGGGCAAGCTGCCGGTAACCACCATCAACATACACCCATTTTCCAAGACCACCCACACTATTATCATTGTGTTCATTACTCACACTTGTTAACCCTGGGGGATCGCAGAAACTTGTCTGTACAACGGACGGGTTTCCATCCACATTTTCAGCATCTACTCCTACAGCTCTACCAGCACCACCTACCGCCGACTTCATCGACACTGAGGTTCCCGTATTCTGACCAGCAGCGGACTTCATTGACACCGAAGCTCCTGAGTTTCTTTCCGCCACTAGCGCATCTTCAAGGTCCTTGACCCGTTGCAGGAGCGCTGCAACGGTAGCCTGGCTAGGGTCCCTGACGTCAGAAGCTCTGCCTGCAGTAGAAGCTCTTTGCGAGAACATCTCCCCATCCAAACTCCTAACCTTTGTAGACTCCTGCTCGCGAAACGGAGTGTCACCCCCATCCGAACCAATCATGAAGTACTGAGCTCCTTGATGGTCCGGCTGTGTTGGTCCCGTCGGGGATTCCGTCACCTGAAGGGCATAGCTCCTGACTTCCACTTTCGTAGTCGTCTCACCACGCTCCAGGATCGACGCCTTGCCACTGGATCCCGGAGAGCTCGCTCCGAGACCCCGGTGCAAGAGTCTTGACTCACTTCTATCATCAAGTTTCCCAGCATTTTGCCCAGAAGATGCCATGGCTGGCTCAGAGAAGTCATACGGTGGATGCACGTCCACATCATCATCTCTCTCAGTAGTGCTAGGTAAGTCGCGCGGTCGGGACTGGTTCAACTGAAATTCTGCTGTAGCCTTTTCAGACCAAAAAGGATTTGGTAGAGGCTTCGAAGAGGCTGGGGCCTCACCATCAATCCCAGTCTGACTGTTGGCTGCTCCCGCTGCATCTTGGTCCTCGTACGAAGGCTCAAGCTCATCTCCTGATTCAAGTGGGACAGGTGTGTCAGCTGCCGTAGCACCGCCACTAAGCCCACCAGGAGGCACAGAGCTCGACTTTCTCCTTCTAGAAGCAAGAGTGTCCATGGCAACAGGGCACACGAAGGCTTGGGCTCATAACCCTCGAGTACGAGGGCCAGCCAACTGTTTTAGCAGCAGAAGCGAAAGCGAATAAGATCTAACTTGGTACACTTCTCGATTTAAAAAACGTCTTCTGTACGTGCCTGACTGTCTTCCTTGCTGCAGGGGCCATGCACCTGCGGAGTCAAGCGTGTCATCCTTGCAGCAGGGGCAGGGACATACACATCTGCGTAGGGTATACCTGTTAGGGACTTGAAGGGAATAGTCTTACTTTGACAGACCCGTATTCAAACAAGAAGCTCCCCCGTAAATCTTGGCCCTACTCCAGACGAGATCCAGACTGTCACGGTCACCCTCTAGGCCAGAGAGGACGCTCTGGAATGGCTGCGGGTCGGCGAAGTTTTGCATGATGAGCTGCCACACCTCGGGAGCTTCCACAGGGACATCGCCCGAGCCTGCGACCTGACATGATGGACCGGCTACCGCTTCTTGTCCCTGCTCGTTCACATACATCTGCGTCACTGGGTCCCACGATCGAACTCGAACCCTTCTCTGATGACTCGCTGGGTCATACAGCAAGATCTGCTTCAACACAAAAGCCCAAAGCCTTAAACCCGAAATAGCCGACTAAAGCCTTTAACCCCGAACGGCCTAAAACCACTTGTCTTACTCACTTCAAGCCAAAACCCCAAAGCCCTGAATCCTAAACCCTAAACTCTAAACCCTAAACCCTGAATCCTAACCCTGCATCTACGGCAGGCCAAGGAGGTCTCCGGTCCCCGGATGCCTGTGATCCGACGTAGGCTGCAGACGCACCCGCCGCAGACCTGACCCCAAGGAGGTTTAGGGTTTAGGATTTAGGGTGCTATGGAGACCCTATCTTTCTCTCGGGTCGGGTCTCTTATGGGTTTCGTTTTTTTGTGTGGAAGGTTAGTATGTTTCGGTTTGTACAGAGTGTCATGTATGGACCTGCACAGTTGGAGTAGTGTATCCAGCTACACCCTAGCCCTAGTACGACTATTAATTGGATGTCAGCCAAAACGTATTGCTCCCAATGATTCCAACCCCTATATGCGGGGCTTACCTCGGTTGAGGCTTGAGGGGTAGGTAGAATACAGTGGCAAGCTCAAAATCCCGAATGGCTATCAACATCTCCATGTTGTAGCAAGCCGCTGCTTGCTGATATCGCACGCATGCACACCCCGCATGTACACTCACCAACTCTCTTAAGGAGACCGTTATTCTCGCGCTTATACACTTACCAATGATATGTACAGCAAAAGGCCTGGTGTACATCCATTATTAACTGGACAAGTCTATCCAGAGCTCTGCAGGATGAAGGAATGCTACTACTCTCGAAGGTGACTCACAAGGCTCGAGCGGGGAACCGGTTTGGAGGGCACTGTCTAGGATTATAAGGTCTATGGTGCCATAAGCCATTCTGAGACTTTTTGCTGCATGCTCTGGGCAAGCCGGACAGGGTTGAAATTATCTGAGTTGCTCTTTGTGCTTTGGAGCATCTTTTCGCCGCTTGCACGCAAGAATAGCGAACAGCGCTAACTAGGATGCCCAGTAACCTAGGATTTAAAAGGGCTCCCTGTTTGGTATTGGGTAACTGTATAAGGAACCTAGGACTACAAAAAGGGAATAAGGGTACTACTGGGCATCCTAGCCAATGCAGTTCACAGAGAGTTTCTGGCCACAGCTCTTCCTGGTAGTCATAAACGTGAGTGCTTGTACAGAGATGGAGGGAGGGAGAGGGGTCGACGAGCTTGCAGCATACCATGGGGTGCCAGCGGCATGCTAAGTTTGCAGAAGCCGCATGCAGGATTCCATGAGCAAGACCATGGTTGAACAACAAAGGAGCAAACATGCCTCGCTGAATCTAAACCTCATCCCCAATAAAAATTTAGGCCCCCGCACTCCACACCCGAAACCCTGTAAACCATCAAGGCATGACTCAAGGCCGCGACAAGGAAGGCGCCGGTCGCCGGGAAGCGAGGTGCGTGGCACGGATCTGCATCCTCTCTGGCCGAGCGTTGCCGGCGACAGAAAGTCGGGATTACACATGGTAACCAAGAAGATACCAGTTTGGGGCCCGAAGAAGACACAAGTGCCTCCCACAGTTCGCGTAGCTTTCGAAAGGTCAACGGTTGGCCTCTGTTGTGCGCTTGAGCTGCACAGGTGGTTGAGAGTGGGCATAAGAGGCGTCCGGTGATTCCAGATCTAGTCTAACCTAGATTGCTGTGAGGTTCAGGGATCGATGTGACAAAGATTTGAAGATTGAGAGCTCAGGATTTAGACCAGTGAGCCTGGTTACGCCGCAGGGAAGGTCCTAAACATGTCTTTTCGTCGGTCAGTGCTGGCGAATTCAAAGGAGGTTCCATGTAGTTAGCCAGAAGAGTCACGCAAGTAATCGGGAAGAACACCAAAATTCTTTCCGGGGCCTGCTTTCAGGGTTTAAGGAGCCAGAGCTTGGAGCTCAGGGTGAGGGTTCCAGTGTAATCTTTCGGGCTTCCTTTGAGGTAGCCTCGGTCATGCAGTCTCCCGCCAAATGTCCGAAACCAGAGAATTTCCGAGCTGAAACTCTATCTATCTATATATATATATATATATCTATCTATCTATAAATATAAATATAAATCCAAAATATAAATGTAAATATAGATATTTATATATATATATATATATATATATGCATATATGTGCGCAATATATGTATGTATGTGTGTGTGTGTGTCTATACATATAAGTATATAAGTAAATAATGATATATACATATACATCCTAAAGTCCTAGATTCGCCGTGAAACCCCGAAATCCGGAGCTAAGCCCTGAACTTTCCATCTTAGACTCACGAACCAGGCTGCCGCAAGCAGGAAGCTCGTCGAAGAGACGTCGGTCGTGTCTTTAAGCCTACCTCGAGTCTCCACTGTAGATCCCTTATTGGATAAGCCAATTTCATGGTTAGGATTTTATAAAATCCGTTTGAAGGAGCTGCTATGGAGACTTTAGGTAGTTTGACATGTCCGAGGGTTTCTTAACCTATGATCTTAGGACCATGGGTCTGCTCCCTTGAGCCCGAAACCCTAAAACCACAAAGCTTCAGGGCCCTAGTCAGTTGTCTACTTTAGGGGCCTAAACACATACCTATACTATTTTGGGGGTACCTTATTATGAATATATAGTATCATAGAGCCCCAAAACCCTATTGTAATTATTAAGGTCCCTATAGGCTTCCACTCAACAAATGCACAGGCGATCCGAAATTACCCCGGGACAATTTGCAGGCAGGCCTTCGCGAACCTTTGCCTTCGCGATTCCTCCGCTCTGATTCTTTAGGGTTTAGGTTTTTATAGGGGTTGGGGTTTAGGGTTTTTTCGCTTTGAGTGTTGTCTCTGGCTTTAGAGGGTGGACTGTGAATTGACGAGTAACTCTCCTGAAGCCAACAACAAGGGCTGCTTTATGCCTGTCGCAGTGATGCTTGCGGTGCTTTTCTTTGGAGCCGTTGCTTGCAAGCAAGAACCAGGACAAGGACCATGATGCAGAGAAGCCGGTGCCATGTAATTCGGATAGTCGTGGGGCACTAACTGTGACCACAATCAGCCGTCTACTCGCCTCTATATTTGATCCAACTATGGGTCTGTTTTGCGGTGGTAGACTGTCCTAGCTGTGTAGGGGCTGCAGGACCGTGGTGACAGTAACATTCCGGCTCTTGAGCTCGGCTGGAAGTCTGCAATGCTGGGGGCCTCGGGGCCTGTACAGCTTTGCTGCTCAGAATACCCAAGCAACAAAGGCGGCTTTGTGCTTGCAGTATCAAGACTGACTTTGCTGTGCACTAGGAAAGGCGATACCACACCCACAGCAAGCCAACAATAACCTACTCTTGAGAATCGAACCGAAAGTTATTCAAAAGCGGAGTCAGACCAGAAGCCCCAGGCGCGCAAAACTGCCATAACACCCCTTCCCACCCCCTCCCCCCATACGCACACACACGCCCATCTGCCTGAAATCTTGAAGAGACCCGTAAATCGAATGCCGATGCCGCCAGGATACAAGTCATTTGGGCGGAAGACGCGGATGGTTACGCGCCCAGCCTTGTCGATGCCTGTACTTCGGGGCAAACAGAGCGATGGAATTGGACATACTGCAGATGATCTCAGAGTAATTATGCAGAGAAACCCCAACCTCTAGTTTCAATCTTAGACTTAGACAACCTCGTATGCGATGAGGCCCACACAATCGCAGTTCCAACATCTCCAAAGCGAATGCCCTCCAGCAAGAAAGTCGAAGTTACTGCAAACCCAACGCTGCATCTCTGAAATCAGCAGCCAAGCTTGGGATTTTGTTGCAGAACATCTTCAGTCTACCACAGGCTTGGTACTGCTTTGACTTTACAGTCTTTGGCTCGGGCAAAGAGACTTATCGAGTACAGACGTGTCGGAAAGGTCGAGAACTCGAGATTCCACGGCATTTTTTCTCGAAGCTGAGCTGCTTCCTCGGCCTTCGGGTTTGAGGGAATACAGGGGTCAAGGGCTGAGCTTCAGTTAGCCGCACAAACGTCTCTATTACTCAATCTAGCGAAACCCTAAAGCTTAAGCCCTAAATCCTAAACCATCCTAAACCCCTAAGACACTAAGGCACCGACTGTCATCCAAGACTTCTGCCTTGAGACCATTGAGCTCTGGCCTCCGCGAACAGTCTCGAGCCCACGATAGGCACTGGCTTCAGAAAAGGTGACATTGACGGAAAGGAGTGATGTGGCTGATAATGATGATGGTGATGATTCTGATGGTAATGATAATCATCATGACAGTAGTGCTGTTGATGGTGACACTGACGGTTCTGGTGGTGATCACAATCTCCGATGAGGAGACTGGGAATGATGCTCCAAGATTCACGATGATCAGGTGTTGCTGCTGCTGGTCCATCGTGGCGAAAATGGTGATGATCGAAGGCGGCGTCTAGCAGAAATCCCAAGTTCCGAAGTGTTCACAACACCCAGAGCATCAGTAGAAAGCATCAGTAGAATCAAGCCCCACGTCAGGCCACTTCGCTTCTAGCAGGCCTTCTCCTCGAGCCTTGGATCACAACCTCAGTCAAGGCGAGAAGGCCAAGCCGGCAAGTTGTGCTTCACATAATTGCTCAGGTCTCTTAGCCTTGGTTAACAGGGAATGGAAGACTGGTCGAAATAGTAGCTGTGATTGTACCCCGTTCCTCCATTCCCTACTAACCAAAGGTAAGATCTTTACCCCAACAGCAGAGGGGTCTTCAGCTGACGGTCTCGGACAGATTGGGCAGGGCGGGTTCCGGTGGCCTCCTGGCCCACAGAAGGCATCTTCGGCAGCGAAGGCTCCTGCTGTGCTTGATTTCAAGCTGGTCGGGTTTAGGGTTTAAGAGTTTAGGGTTTAGGGCTTCTGAAGTTTAGGGTTCAGGAGTTTAGGGTTTATAGGCTCAAGCCGGTGGGCGACGTCCAAGATTCGAAGTGCTCAAGAGATAGATGGGCGACGAAGAATGCTCTAGCAGAATTCCTGCAGCCCTGCTTTACAAAATCCATGGTGCTTTTGCTAGGGACCTATAAAGTTTAGGGTTTGTGCTCCAAGACAAGCTCTCAGTGCATCGAAAGTGGTAGCTCACAAGTTGTTCGAACATGAGGTTCTTGACATGAAGGCGATCAGGCTGGCAATCTCGTATCCTGGTACATGCATTCCAAGTATGCCTCCACCCTAAACACTAAACCCCATGCGCAAGCGACGCAGCGTGAATCCATCTCAAAATGAGAGGCACCAAATGTTCAATCTAAAAGGGTGGCTCTGTGGACAGGTGGGGTAGACTTGCATGGTTCTGCTGTGTAATGTTGACTGCGCCAACTGTCCGTAGACCACATGCACCCTAAACTTCGGAGCCTGCACCCTACCCATAGGCCCCAAAGTAGTTCCTTTTTGGGATTACCTTATAGGATTCTATATACGAACCCCAAAAAGGAACTACTTTGGGGCCTTAGGGTAACCAATAGCCTCCCAGACACGATTCAAGCCGAGTCCTTGGACATCCGCAGAGTCTCCAACGACGCATGTTTTGGGATACCTCTCTCTCTCGCGTGTAGGGCATTTTTAAGTTTAGTGCTTAAGAATTTCTGTCTGTCTCTGCCACTGTCGCTCGCAATGCACACCAGTCGTACTGGTAGTGCTAGCAGTAGTGGTAGTAGGAGAACTAGTAGTAGTAATAGTAGTAATGGTAGTAGTAGTAGTTGTTGTTGTTGTTGCTGCTGTTGTTGTTGTTGTTAGTAGTAGTAGTAGTCGTCGTCGTCGTCGTCCTCGTGGCAGTGGTGTAGTGTAGTAGCAGCAGGAGTAGTAGTAGTGGTAGTAGTAGTTGTAGTAGGAGTATGAGTAGGAGTGGGAGTAGGAGTAAGGGGCGTGGGAGTGGGCGGAAGTACATCATGAACTTGACAACGAGTACCACAGTTCTGGCACGCGACTCAAGCTTGTTGGGGTTGAGGGCGCAGGATTGAAACGCTGTAGATTGCAGGCCTCAGGGCTAGCCAAACCTGACTTTCTTCTACCTGAACCTTCATGTTGCTAATGCTAAGGTCGCTAAAAATAGCCCGGCATAGCAGTAGGGAACCCTGTGGATCCGCGCGCCTAATTGTTGAAAGCACCATGCATCCAGCTCTTTTTCCAAGGTGTGCTTCCAGACCTGCATACGAGGGCTCCGAGGTACGGGGAGTTGGACAAACAATGACAGGACAGTTCAAAGATGTACCTCTAGCCTTGAAGCTAAACAGCTAAACCTGTACACTCGGAACCTTGAACCGAATACTCTAAGTCCGTAGAAGTAGACGCGATACACACGAAGCTCGAACACATGAGCTTTCTACATACACAGAATTAGCTGCAATTACAAAACATTTCCGCACTTGGGCTGTTGGGCTTTCATTACACGGATGGGAACCAAGGATTGAGTTCAGAGCTTATGAGGTTTAGGGACTGTGATTTGGGGTTCAGGGTTGAAAGGTTGTAGTTAAGGACCCCAAGCCCTAGTCCCTGGGTCCGGGTGCCTGATCGGCATGCAACGGATTTGCCGCTGCCATGGCAGGTGCAAAGCTCAGAAACCCCAAGATGGGAGATGCATCAGGTGGCGAGCATCCTCTTCACTAACTGGTGCTTTCGGGGCTTTGGGGTTTAAGTTTTATATAGAGCCTAGGAACACAGGTGTGCTTGCGTAGGAACGGATTTCCCCTGACTCTGAGAGAACTTGCGTTTCGGCACGGCATTTCCTTCTGAAATTTGCCGAAAATGGTCCGCTCGAGGTGTGAGGTTTTTTGCAAACAGCATGGGTTCCTCGAGGTCATGGCAAGGGTACCCTTATTCCTTGTATTCAGCGGAAAACCTACAGTAATCTTACCCTGAACCCTAAATCCACTCTAAACTCTACCCTACGACTCAGAGAGGTGCTCTGAACTGTTGCCATTGCTGGAGACGGTATTGTCTTCGGCCGGCAATCTATGCATTTTAGTTTTCATTACTGACGCTGACTGCTTCGTGTGGCCATGTAACATCAGGGGTATTCGTCGCCGACACCTGCAAAATCTCTTGGTTTTGACCCGAAGCATGATGAATGGAAGACTGGTGGTCCTTCCACTTGCCCATTTGTTTTCTACCCACAGCGTGCACTGTGATACGGTTGATGATATAAACCCTGCACTACCCATAATAAGGAATATACCATAAATCCAGTAGTCTAGGGTCCTTACAGTAAGGTAATGCAGGAGTTATATCATCAACAGTAACAGCAGTTAGTCACCATATCTTGTGTGAAGCGACTCAAGGCCCGCCTTAGATACGGCGGGGCAGGCTTTCCGACTCTGTGTGTGTGTGTCGGGTCTGGAGACTAGGAATTATATAAGGTTTAGGAGTTTAGGGGTCAGGTTTCAGGATTGAAAGGACTGCGGACGCTGCATGCTTGCGACCGAGACCAGTGCAGGACTAGAGGGGATTTGACAGCCCGAAGACAACACAAGTATGAGGCCCTCAGGTTACACGGTTCCTGGCAAACCGACAGCTCGGGCAGGTACACCAAACCAAACTAGTACAACGGCAGAATGGCATCAATAAGTTGATGAAGGTTTGGGGTACACTACACCACAATTCTCGTAAGGCCCCTGTATAGGATCCTTATGTTTCTACCGTGCTTTGGGGACTTTCTCGCACAAGTTCAAGGCCAATCCGACGCGGGCCAACTTTTTTGCGCGAGACTTCCGCCTGCGGCAGCATGGGCGGCACCTGAGAGCAAGCAAAAGGCTTGGGTTGCTGTTGGGGTTTTGAGGGTCCCGGGTCTTGGGTCTTGGGTTTCACGCTCTACGGCTGAGGAATTCGGATTTCTTGGTCTTAAGTCAAAGGGTTTATGGCCGAGGGTTGTCCAACTTGGGGTCCGTGCCGATATCGTGGCACCAGAGTTCGCTCAGCAACTATCATGTAATGTGCGGTTCACAAGCGGACTTGGTGCAGTCAAGATTTCGGGATCCGTGTTGCAAAGGCAAGAGGGTCAAACAACAAACATGCTCACAGGCTTGGAGCACCATGTTGTGCGGGAGATACCGACATCTGGCTCCCACTGACGCTACTCAGTCGGGTCCGATAAACATGTTCACCTTACTCAGTAGAAAGAGGTCGCATGGTCTGTCCTGCCGTGGACATATATTTTACAGACAAAGAGGCACCTTCTGCCACCTCGATCGCAGGCCCCATGCCAAGAGCCTACTAAGCCTACATCCCTCAACTCCAAAAACACTGCAAACACTACACCGGCTTTTAGGGTTTGGGCGGTATATAGTAACCCTAAACCCCCTATTCTGTGCGTCACTGTTTATGTTGGCTGGACATGTGTATGCACACATATACATATCTGTTGTATGGCTCGAGCATCTTTAGAAGTCCCTTCAGACAGATAAACCGATAGATACATGGAAAATATATGATAGTTACATAGATAGAAAAACACATGGCTGGATAGATAGGTAGATAGGTTCATTCAGATGGGTACATACAGAAAGAGCTAGATAGCTAGGAAGCTAGATAGGTAGAACATGAGATATATCTTCCCGAACAACTTATACAACGGCCATCGACTCAGCCACTAAACTAAGCTAGACCCTGTCTCAGGGCCCCAACCCCATAGAGTCCAGCAAACGGCTGAGACGTAGGCAACTCCTGTAGGCCTGGGTTTATGGCTCATGGGACGGGACGCAGAGGTTTCGGGAGGCTCAACAACTTGACCCTTCTGCAGAAGACACCTTGCAGCTTTCACCGGCCCCAAAGTAGTTCCTTATCGTGGTTCATATATAGAATCCTATAAGGTATCCCCAAAAAGGAACTACTATGGGGCCTATGGGTCAGTCTAGAACTCCAGAAGCCAAACACCTCGTGCAATTCGCATTATTTGGAGCCTTCGGGGCTCCAGGTACCCAGACCTTCCAAAACCCCTTAATTAAGGAATATACTTTAAATTATAATAGGATCCCAAATATGAATTAAGGTATATTCCTTAATTAAGGGATTTTGGAAGGTCTGGGTATATGTAAACTCCACATCCGGGAACCCGATGTCCGAAAGGCACATATGGGAGTTTCAGAAAACTAGGGGTGCCTTATTTTGGGCTCCTTATAATAAGGATCCTACTATTTAGGGTACTATATAAGGGTCCCCCTATTTTTCGGAAACTCCCATATTCAGAAAATCCTCAGCACCCGGGAACCCTTTGAGACATGCAACTACAAACGCCGGACTTGCGACACGAACCCACCAATTAGCGCAGAAGCGGAAGTACTTCCTAACCGCTAGACCTGAATGAGAAACCCAAAAAGAACTGCCAACACTTCTCTGGACCCTGAAGACCCTAACTGTGACACCGGCCTGTCTTATACAACACCCTGCCCTACACCTCAGAACATGAATCCGAAACCAGAAAATCAGAAACTGTCCAGCCGTACATAAAGAACTTGCCAGCTCAGGGAAAAGGCCCGGGCCAGTGACCGAGATAGCGAGCATGGAATGTCCTCCGACTCAAATCTTTCGGCTTAGGGTGTTTTTGGAGAGGGGCTGGCTGAAGAGCCAAAAACCCCTCCCACACAAACTTGCCTCTACCTCACGATGTGGTTTCTTCGATTCCGGATGGCTAGCTGAACCTGGGTCAGCCAGCGATCTGTATATCTCCGCCACGAAAAACAGAAATCGTCTTGCTCGGTAGGCTCCATTTGGCAGCTTTCTACCAACCTTGAAGACTAATGCAAACCCCACAACAAACTCCAAACCGTGTTCTGATTGACAACGTTCAATTAAGATAATTAAGACCTGACGATGTATGCGAATTCAGAACTCATATTTCTTGTAGATGCCTCCTGGTGGAGTCGGTAGGGTCTATCTAAGGATCTCGCTCGAGGCAGCCCTTGCCCTTCGCCGGTGGGCCTTTCCATAGACATCCGGGCAATAGCCTGAGTCGTGCAACCCTAAAGCCACTGTAATTCCCTGGGGGGGGGGGTCCACTTACCCAAGCAGTTGGATACTGGATTGTATAGTTTGTGGCTACGTAGTAACCTACCATGAAGGTACCTGGTAGCGACTGAAAACCGAAATCCCCGCATCAGACCCTTGCTGAAGCTACTTGTCGCAGGCTTTGGGGTCTTGGGAGCATTAGACCAACTTGGGAGTCAGTGACGCGACCACTGGACCTAAGTCCCCGCTAATGACTATGATGAGGATTACGGAGGATTCATGTAGCATTGTAGGTATGTCTCGGGCGGCCATTGTACCTTTGAGGCAGCTCAGTGCTTCGGGTGCAATGAATCGCGACATGGAAGCAACAGATAGCAGCCAACAGAACACACACAACAAGAACGCACCTGATCTGCAAGAACCGTCTAGACTCTCTTCAGTGTCTATAACCACCTTCATAGGAAAACCCAGGCCGAAGAAACACGATTGAAACGGAAATCTCCTCTCAACAGGCAGCCCGGCGGCCCACAGCGAATTCGTCCGCCCAACGACGCGCACGCTCGGAGTGGCCCGCTGCCTCGAAGCTTGCCGTCCTGAGAAGCGGAGGCCGGGAAGGGTTTCGGGGTGTAGCTCGTCAGATTGAGGGTTTTTTGTGGCTTCGAGTGCTCGCAGGGTTTAGGGGGTTTACTGCTCTTCTGGTCGTCCGTCGATCCTTCGTTAACACATGCTGGTTGGTCTGTTCTATCGTTGCGACTTTCCACTCTTGTCACTGGTAATTTTTCATCTCAATATTCGGTTTCAGTCGCGTGTTGAAAAAAGTGTTCTTGATACGAACACAGTTCTTACGATCAGTTTCGGTTTACTTGTTCGTGCTGCTTCATTTAGCACACCAATCTGGGATCCCCAAAACCCCTAAAACCCCTAAAACCCTAAACCCTTAACCCTAAACCCTTAAACCCTAAACCCTTAAACCCTTAAACCCTAAACCCTAAACCCTAAACCCTTAAACCCTTCAACCCTTAAACCCTAAACCCTAAACCCCCAAACCCTTAAACCCTTAAACCCTAAACCCTGAAACCCTAAACCCTTAAACCCTTAAACCGTAAACCCTTAAACCCTAAACCCTTAAACCCTTGATCAGGGCCGGACGCATCGAATCCGGCGGCATCCCGGAGGACCTGGGTGCCTCCCGGATGTCTTGCGAAGAACCTGAGCAGACTGGTGACACCAATATGAACGGGCTTACTGGGATGCCTAGATACTGACACTCTGACTTGCTGATGTTTGTCTATCAAATCTCTGTTTCTACCGATCGATCTCTTTGTCTACTATCAATCTATCTATCTATCTATCTGGCTGTCTATATCGTCTATAACTATATCTGTCTTGGCATCTACTGTATCTCTGTCTGTATCTATATCCTGTCGATCTGTGTCTAAAAATGAGGGCTGCAGTGCATGTAGGATCCAAGCCTTGAAAGCAGAACTGGTGCTTGATTTCAAGCCCGAGGGTTGGGTTTAGCAGGCAACAACCGAACTCTCTGTCTGCCCGGCGGCTGTATATACATATCTGAGATATCTGCATACGAAAACACCTGGATATGCACGTGTGCATGTACGAACCTTCGCAGTACATGAGTTTGGACCGGAATCTTTCTCCGAAGCTTCGCCCCCACCGTGTCTGTGCTGGCTAAGGTCTGCTTGCTCATGGCGTATGGTATTTAGTGCTTTGGGCCTATAGATCCCTTTAAAGAACCCTATTCCCTTAAAGGCGCCCTATAGATCTCTTTAAAGAACCCTATAAGAAGTAGGATTGGGGGATGCAAGCTGTAGGTACCCAAGTGCATTGATGGGGAACACTCCAGATGCTGCGACTGGCTCAACCTGCCGGGCTGGGTGCGATCTCAAGGCGTCGGCAACTCGGCAAGCGTATACAAGAATGGTACTGCAGTTACTAAAGCAGACGAAACTTTTCGACATGGAACAACACATGTAAGGACGGAATTGGGTATCACTTCCAAGAACCAAATCCATAAGCAGCGAGGTTCCTCTGTTCACATGGCCTCAGAGCTTTTAATGCTCACCAGGGGGTAGTAATATGTGCAGTCATCGTGTGGCGGATAGCTGGAACCTGGAAGAGAGCCCATGCCCTGCCGATTTTCTTACAACTTGACCCTCAACCAGTGTAGGGTCTAATGGTAGATCGTAGAACTTCAGATCTAAGCTCTACACACAAACGCACAATACAGTAGGATTCGGGTCCCCACTAAAATCCAAAACCCTAAACCCTAAACTAGGATTCGGTTCATCGAAATTCCACCCAAGCAACGTGGCGCTGAGTTCGAAGACAAGTCCATGGAGGCTGACCTTTCAGGTCTTATAGGGTTCTTTAAAGGGATCTATAGGGCTCCTTTTAGGGAATAGGGTTCTTTACAGGGATCTGTAGGGCTCCTTCAAAGGGATGTATAGGGCTCGCAAACTCATGGGGGTTTTAACGAGCCTCTCCGACGTTTCTAAGCGGGTTACGCTTTGGTTTAGCATGCTTGGGCGTGAGGGCATCAGTTGTCTTGTCCAGCTCCTTGTTTCCGAAGTGGCCTTCGACGTTGTAAAATCCTAGGGTCGTAAAGTCCTTTTTGGTAGAGCGGGGCAGTCGGCAACTGGTTGCACATGCACAATCAAAACAAGGCTTGCAAGCTTGGGGTACGGGGGTGAATGATGCACTAATCTTGAGGTTCAAAGGTTTAGTCCGACTCCAGTCAAAGGGCGCAAGTTCTTGGATTTTAAGGCTTGAACAGAAGTTTTGGCTGAGATGCATAAAATGCAGCCTGAATCAGAAGCCTGCAGAGTGCCATATCCCATGATTCCTATAGATGTCATGACAGTATGAAATATCTGCAAGCCCCCATCGTCATCTCGTTTATTCGTTTCCTCAGCTATATCTGCGATGCTGCTCACATAGCGGCTGCATCTGGATTCTCGGCAGGTCATCCCAGCCATAGTGTGTCACAGCACCGCGATGACAGCCACAGCGATAGGATGTGTGATCAGGTTACATGGATACTAAGCAGCTCCTTCTCTTGCTGTTCCTCCTGCTCTTGCCCTTGCTCTTTCTCTTCCTGCTTTCTATGCTTCACAATGCTATTGCTGCTGCTCTTGCTCTTGCCGTTGCTCCTGCTCTTGCGCTTGCCGTTGCTACGCCTAATTCATCCACATTGGGTTCTATGATGTCCGGAACTTTTTGTCAACCAAATGCTGCTTATTATTAGCAGGGATGGTTGAATACTTCTTCTACACAGCCAGAGCTTCAATGGAGCGAAATGGGAGCGAGAAAAGGGGACCCTAATCACATGGTACCCATAGTAGGATCCTTATAAGGACCCCCAAAAGGGTACCCCGAATTTTCGGAAACCTCCAAATGTGCCATCCGAGAAGCCAGGCATCCCTGGCCAACCCCCAAAGGGCACATGCGCCAGCGATGGGCCCAAAGCTCCTGCAGAGTGCTTTGAGCCCAAAAGACTTCTTGCACTTGCTTTCTTGATGGCTTCATAAGTGCATAAGTGGGTCTTATAGAATCTTCAAGTTTTTTATGAGGGTTTCTTTCTAAGAGTCTTGGTGGGCTTGAATAAACGGATAGAGTTTACAGGTTCAAATGTTTGAACTCCACAAGTGGCCCGTCTATTTGCCAGTTCTCCCATGATTAGAAGACGAATACATGCTCTGCGTTTGTTGGCCACCACATGTTTGCACACTGTTTTTCTGGTGATGAAAAAGTCGACATTTGGGCAAGCTGAAAAAATGCCGAGCACACGAACCCACATGCTAGAATCCGAACCCATGTCCCATATTGCCGTGGGCCCATGCCCTGCTGCCTGTTTTTAAAAATCCTCAAACCTGAAGTCAAACCCCTTAAGCGAATCCCATGAGACCGTTGTTACACAAACTGTTTGACGACCCCTGGATCGGCAGTTCACAAGACTGCTCAA